ATTTCTGAAAGAGGAAGAGATTTCAAAGATTCCTGTTCAGACCAGGGAGGGGTGAAGACAAAACATCAGTCAAAAATAAACATCAAAGAATTCAGAAATACCAAAACATGAGATGAGAGATGAAATAGCCTTTATTTGTCATTTGCAGGCCTTTTGCCCACAACCGAGATGACAGACCTTGCCGACCGCACATACAATACACAAACATCACATTGGGGAGACAGGTCAGGCTAGGTAGCGAGGAAAAAAACATCGAAATGTGTAACACAAAAGGGTAAAGTGTGTCAATAGCATTCAGAGACCAGTTGATCAAATCCATAATTCTCTTTAGGTTTTAGAAACAGACTGTGAGAGAGTGTTCCAGGGAAAGTAATACAAAAAAACACGAGACTAGACAAGGACATAAGAGCTAAGCAGGAAAGATAAGGGAGAGGAGAGGAGAAAAAGTGCGTCCGCCTCCCCCGAGAGCCAAAAAGAAGTGCAGACACATACTGTAAGTACTCGGGCTTTATGTTTGAATCCACTAACAAAAAGATTTAAGCATTTAAGCACATGTTTATACTGTGAGACCCTGATGGGAGTCTCTTATGCTGCATAAACCTGCCTTAATCATTGGCTCTAGAAGCTCTCCATGTTTATCTTAAAGCAATTAACCTTTGCCTCAGCAGTTGCCCTGTCTCTGTAACTGGGCAGCATGCTGTGAGACAGACATGCATGTAAAAGGTTACTGTAAATGCTGCTACACATATGTTCAACCCATTTTCTTTGTTTTTAACATTTTAGCATAACGTGTTTAATATCTTTTTTAGCATTTAAAAAATAATGTAGCATATTTTTTTAAAAACTAGATGCTGTGCAATTATTGCTGTTAACTCAGTAAAGTTCTGCCAACTAACAATGGACTCTACATGAGGGAAGTTGACTTTTAACTGGGATAAAAAAAGAAATATTTCTGTTTACACATTAATTCTTATAATCCTACTCTGACCTTTGTAGTTGGTGAGGACTGGATGTCTCTCTGCCCCTGGCGCCGATTAAAATATCAACCACTAATTCACAATTAGTTGTGCATATTGAATATTGCACAGGAGAAGTACTGGAATCTTTAACTGTTAATCTGTGCCATTTTCAAGATTTTGAATATTCAGATTTATTAATTAATTCTATATTCTGCTGTATTCGTCACTAAATATCATCCCCCTAACCTTAGACATGGTTCAGAGGAAATTGATGGATTTCTTTCCAAATATACAACATAAATTGCCCTATGTCTGTGAAGGTTCTCAGTCATCCAGGTCATCGTAGTCAAAGGAGCTTGCAAAGAAAAGCGTCTGGACTTCTTTAAGTTGCTTGAAGACGTTTCACCTCTCATCCGAGAAGCTTCTTCAGTTCTGAGGTCAAATGGTGGAGAGTTGGGACCCACACCCATTTTCACACCTTGGCTCAGGCGATTAGAGGATCATCAGGGGGCCTTTGTCCCTCTGTGGGGGGATACTCCCACTAGGTTTATATCTGGGACTCTCCACCATTTGACCTCAGAACTGAAGAAGCTTCTCGGATGAGAGGTGAAACGTCTTCAAGCAACTTAAAGAAGTCCAGATGCTTTTCTTTGCAAGCTCCTTTGAATAAATTGCCCTAATTGACATAATTTGATGTATCATTAGTTCAGGGGATATAAATATTCACACTGACAACAGCAACAATGAAAAGTGATATAAAACAGACAATCCCTTTATTAGAATGTTTTGACTTTAAATAGCATGTGAATGGACCCATTCATACAAAAGGTCACATACTTGCTCTAATTGTTTCCAAACGCCTTGATGTCACATTTACAAATGTTCAAAATGTTGCTCTCTCGAATCATTATTGTGTGTTTTATTTGTCCTGTCAAAACAAATACCAACCGATTAATTAACGAGCATTACATCAATGGCATCACAGGTGACATATTTATCAGCGAACTTTCAAAGCACACATTACAAGTACTGTTATCATATCATTAAATGCTGCATAATTTCTCCGATGCAATTTCTCAAATAATTAATTATATTGATTTTGCCAGAAATGTAGATATACATAATCCACCTAAAGTTCCCGGAAGAAACAAAGGAAAGGTAAAGATGGCAGAAATAAAATGCTGCAGACCTTTTATTCAGCTCACAAGTCAATTGGTTTAAGAGTTGGTCAGGTCATGTTTTTCACTGGTACTCATCATACCAAAAGTGCAAACGTTTTTGTGTTTTAATTCGTAGCTTTGGAACTGCTCAAATAAAAATTCAAAGGATTTTCCTTTGGGTCTATCACCGGTCTGTTACACGTTAACCTTCACATAGTCCTGCTTGGTGCTGTCATAAAAAATCTCAATATATCCCATCATTCTTATGCACATGACACTGCTTCACCTAACTTGAACCCTTTTCCTAAAATGATCTAACCTTTTTTTTTTAACAAACTAATAAGCTGCACTGATGACATTAACTCTGGATGTCTAGAAACTTTATAGAATTTTTTTTAGAACAGAATTATTTGTAGTCAGTTAGTTCACATTTATCTTTCCTGCCTCTGAAACACAGCAAAGAAGTCAGAAACCTTGGCATCATTTTGAACAGCGATCACAGTTTTGATAATAAGGTCTGCTGCCAGAGTCGTTACACGTACATGGAAATTTGAACATGTGCTGAAGTGCTTAACTACTTCATTGGCTCCCAGTTCAAAAAGTTAATTTTAAACTTTATGAACTAAACGTTCGCTGCCTTACTGCTCACTGTCTGCAACCCAGTTAAACAACATCAGGTGTCCCCCGAATTAGAGCTACATGTCGTGAGGGTGGTTTCTGTTACTGCTGACCTGAGGTAAGTTACAGCTGTGCCTGCATTCAAAAAACGACTCAATAAGTCAAAAGCTGAGTGTCTGTGAGTGTGTGTGCATGTGTATGTTAGCTGTTTTAACTATTATAAGATTTATTTTTCAGCTGTCATTATGAACCTATATAGATTTGTGTTTATTTTTACTCTCTGTAGTAAGCAGATTGAATTTGAGTATGACGAATTCTGCAACATGACTAAAGTTGCCATTACCATGATTTGGTCAAACATTGCAAATATTTTAGTATTTCTAGTATGTTGTTTGTATGCCCACAATTTTTTCCTTGTTGCTCCTTGTTTGTTGTGTGTCTGAATATCTGGATTGTTTTTTGGACTTTACTTTTGCCATATTTGGATTTGTTTGCCTCTTCTGCCTTCCTGTGTACAGCTTTCTGGATTAAAGATCTGGATTTTTGGGTGTCCTGCTTGTGGGTCTTGCTCCTTCATGATCATTGTAATTAACTGTTTACTCTTAAAAAGCTATAAAATAATCACTAATATAAAAAACATTAATAAGCAACAATCTCAACTCGTCACATTTTAATACAACCTGTTCAAGTTCAAAAAAAATGAAACAGTGAAAATGAAGCAGGACACAAACATCAGCGATATTGCAAAAAAAAAAAACAAAAAAAAAAACATCCTAATGTTTATAAATGCACTACCTATAAATTGCTATTTTAATTGCAACCATCCATATAATTAATTAATTAAACATAATATAAAAACAAACTAGTAACCAATTAGCACAAATATTGTTTCAGTGTTTGTTTTCGGTAAGTGCGATTAAACTAGATTTTATTTTAATAATGTTAAAGAATCAGCGGCTTTATGTCTCCACTGGGTTTTCAGTCTAAAAGATAGTTTCAGAAGCACGATGACAGTTTAAAGCCGCAGCAGCTTGACCTCTGCCTATTGATGCCAATGTACACTGTATGTCTGTGAAGGTTCTCAGTCATCCAGGTCATTGTAGTCAAAGGAGCTTGCAAAGAAAAGCGTCTGGACTTCTTTAAGTTGCTTGAAGACGTTTCACCTCTCATCCGAGAAGCTTCTTCAGTTCTAAGGTCAAATGGTGGAGAGTCCCAGATATAAACCTAGTGGGAGAATCCCCCCACAGAGGGACAAAAGGACCCCCTGATGAAACTGGTTCACCCGAAAGACAAAACGCCAAAACACAAACTTAACAATGTGGTGTATGCTGTACAGTGCAGCGAGGAATGCTCAGACCTCTACATTGGAGAGACCAAACAGCCACTTCACAAGCGCATGGCACAACACAGAAGAGCCACCTCCACAGGACAAGACTCAGCAGTCCATCTGCATCTTAAGGATAAAGGACACTCTTTCGAGGATGCCAATGTTCACATTTTGGACAGAGAGGACAGATGGTCTGAAAGAGGAGTGAAAGAAGCCATCTATGTCCACTGTGAGCGACCATCTTTGAACAGAGGCGGGGGTTTACGACACCAACTGTCTGCCATCTATAATCCAGTTTTGAGATCCCTTCCCAGACGCCTTAACGCCCACTCACATCCTGGGCCATCTGACCTCAGGAATTCGCATGATAAGGTGGGGCCAGGTTTCACAATGAACACACCCGAAACTCTGGCTGATTGGGACCCACACCCAGTTTCACACCTTGGCTCAGGCGATTAGAGGATCATCAGGGGGTCCTTTTGTCCCTCTGTGGGGGGATATTCCCACTAGGTTTATATCTGGGACTCTCCACCATTTGACCTTAGAACTGAAGAAGCTTCTCGGATGAGCAAGCAACTTAAAGAAGTCCAGACGCTTTTCTTTGCAAGCTCCTATGTACACTGTAATGTGAATTTGAAATTCTGTAATGTGAAACACTTCTATTTGTTTCAAAGATTCAACTCTTTAGAAATAATTAACCAGATCAACAAAAATGGGAAACTGAAACTTCAGCAGAAAGGTGACACTGTGAAAACACTGTCAGCAGTGAAGTTTAAAATGAACCGTAATAGCACTGAAGAAATAAGGTAAGTGTCATGTACACTTATTTTGTCATTGAGAATATTCCATCCAATTAAGACTTCTTTGTTCTAATGGGGCTAACAGGCCAACATTAATGTTGCACACTGAGCTACCACATCATTACATGGTTACCTCCTACTGGGTGGTGTTGTAAGAAGGGAGGAAGGGGAGGCACTGGAAACATCTAAACCTTTTCAAAACCTTGTTGCAGAAAGGTATATCATAGCATGACTGGTCATGCATGTTTTTGCTTCCATCTTGCACCTTGTCCTGCCAGCTCTTGATACCTCTCTCTTTGTCAGTACCTGAAAAAGATGGGATGAGGTTAGATGATAGAGCTTACTTTATAATTGATTGTCTTTAACACAAGTATTCTGTCATTCACCTGGAATGGTGTTATCCAGTATGAATCCAAAAAATCCACCGATGAACATATGTGTGGTAAAAAGCACTACAATCAATTGGTCCAGCTCTTTTATTCCTTTAGAGACAAGAACAAACAAAACAAGTCGTTAACCTTTATTAGCCAAAGATAAAAGAACTATAAATCTTGTACAAGATTATCGTTGCGCTTGCCTCTTCCATATGAAGGCAAGGATTCATTCTTTTTAAAACTAAATCAAGGCTTAATCATCCATCCACCCATTTCCTTAACTTCTTATGCAGTTTAGATCACAAGGGTGCTGGAGCCTATCTCAGCTGACATGCCAGTCCAGCATAGGGCCAACACAGAGAGACAGACAGCATTCACTCTTACTCAGTTTACTGTGTGAGGAAGCCAGAATGCCTGGTATGCACTTTTACCACGGTTGCTGAGTTTACCATACACATTTTTTTTTGTGTGGTGTTTGGTTGTATTCAAGCATCTTAGAAGCAAACGGGTGAATCCCTATATGTCTGACTGAGATGGATTTGTCTGAGATATTTTATATTTTATCAGTGGCCTGTAAACTGTTTGTGGTATTTTTTGACAGTTAAAAACTTTCTTTGTTTGAGGTTTTCAAAACATTCGACTTCACATAGACACAAATAAATGAATATATTAAAGTATCTTAACTTGCCCTTCACTGGGAGTTGCACTGTGCTCTTGTTTATATAAAATTTTTAACTGGAGAGTGGATCAACTTAGTGAGGTTATCTGGTTATGGCTTACCGAGAAATGTCTATTTCAAATTAATTAATTGTATTCACACATTAGGCTAAAAACTTGATAGTGCCAAGAGAAAGGATTTTTAAATCTTATCAAACCTTATTAAAACTTAAAAAAAAAATCACATTTAACAGGATATTTTGTATAAGTAACTTGTATGTTCCCTTGACCACTGAAATCAAAGACAAGCTAGATAATGCTTCCAAATAACTATTCAAATCACTTCCCGGATACAGTTAAAAATGGACTGACTTTTTGAAGCAATCTGGGTCAGTACAGAATGTGATGTCACTAGGTTGTTTGGTTGCTAATAGATTCCCATTAGTTTATGTTAGCTAGTTAGTGACAAAACCAATAACGCCATGGAAAGTGTTTAATTCAATTCAGTTCTATAGAAATAAAACTAAAGTGGCTTCATGGTGCTTCATATTGTAAGGTAAAGACCCTACAACAGGGGTTCTCAAACTTTTAGGGGCCAGGGACCCCATACAGGGGGTAAAATATCTCCAAGGACCCCCTTATAACTCTCATGCTTTGAGATGAGATGCCACTTTAGCTTGGCTGGCTTCATTGCTTCATTTTCTAGCACTTGAAGACACACAATGCATTTTGGTCTTCCATCAACATTCTCGATAAAGCCAAACTCGAGGGGACTGTTGTCACTGGCACATGTTTTTAAGTGCCACTATGCGCCAGGTGACACTATGTGTTTTCACAGACCCCCAATCTGCACCTTGCATACCCCTAGAGGTCTGGGGACCTCACTTTGATAGCCACTGCCCTACAATAATAGAGAGAAAACCCCAACAATGAAATGAGCAATCACTTTGAGCAATCACTTTGAGCAATCACTTTGAGCAATCACTTGGCAAAAGTGGGAAGGAAAAACCCCTTTTAACAGGAAGAAAAGTCCAAGAAGGAAGTGGCTGCCTGCCACCACTGGTTGAGTTTAATGAAAGGAAGAGAGAATTAAAAAAGCACACTGTGAAAAGAGCCAGAGATTAAGTAAATCAAGGTGAACTCAAACTTAAAAGTGGTCTGATACTGTCCTTCCTGTGTTTTTTCTTTGTCTGGTGGGTAAACTGAGAGGGGCAATTAACTAGCAGAGCAGATGTCCACTAGATGTGATCAGTACCATTTTATGCCATAAAATACTTTCTTTACCCAAGCACATCCAAACATAACTAAGTTTCTTACCAAAGCACGATCAGGAATCCTACCATCCAGTGATATGTTCATCTAAGATAACTCTTTATTGTCATTGCACAGTCATACATAGTACAGTAGTACAATGAAATCCATCCATCCCTCCATTCATTTTCTTTCGCCTATCAGGAGCAGGGTCATGAGGGCAGAAACCCAAGCAGAGAAGCCCAGACTCACTGTCCTCAGCCTCCTCCTCTGCTTATCCAAGGGAATAACACCAAGACACTTTCAGACCAGCCAAGAGATGTAATCTCTCCTGTTTGTCCTAAGTCTGCCCTGGGGCCTCCTCTCAGTGGGATATGCCCAGAACACCTCAACCAGGAGACACCTAGGAGGCATCCTTATCAGATGTGCAAACCACTTCAGCTCGCTCCTTTTGATGAGCATGCCCACGGAACAAAAAAAATCTCCCTGTGGACATGCTCATGCGTTCTAGGATTATCAGTTATGCTTCAGTTTCTTGTGTGATATATAAGTAGTAAACTGGTTGGATATGCTTTTAAGAGAAGAAAAACTATTTTATTGCATAAAATAGCACTGATCGCATCTTGTAGACATATATCTGCCAGTTGATTGAACTGCTCAGTCTGTCCACTCAACCTAACAACAAAAATCACACACAGAGGGGACAGTGTCGGACAGTTTGTCTGTGTGGTGAATCAACCGTGAGCCTGACTCAAACAAGCTCTTTTGCACATAGTCTTCATTTATTAAACTGCTCGACAAACTCTAACACTACAGTCAGCAGGAGAATTTTCCCATTACAGTGCAGCTAACCAACAATAAAGAACAACTTACTGCTTAGGAGACAGAGAGTAAAGTTGATTGTAAAACAAATTAGTTTTTTAACATAAAAGTTATTGCTACAGCCAGGGGCGATTTAAAAGTGACACCCCTGAGACTGCTTTTTACTTTTAGTTTCCCTGTTTTCTATTGAGTTATCAATTCTGTTACTAGCTAGCTAATGCAAGACTATTAGCAGCAACCAACCAACTTAGTGATCTCACATTCTGTACTGGCACAAGATGGTGCTACGCATGCTCTAAAAATTGTACTTATTTCTTAAATCAACATTTACAGATAGTGCTAAATCTTAGAGTATTTTAAGTTGGGCTCCATGGTTTAATACACATTAATACACAACCACAGCAAAGTGTGTAATAGACAGGCTGGTCCAAATCGAGAACTGGATACACATGCAGAATCTGCATTACCAACAGGGGGAGATAATATATTTAAAGTCAGGAAGTCAGTAGTGAGCACAGAAAGGTATGATTTACATTCTTGGGTCGTTAATCGACAGAAATGATAAAGCTAGTTGGCTAATATGTATTTACATATGAATAATGTCTGTTTAAAATGTGTTCCCATGATTATTTCAATGTTAGTTTGAAATAAAATATCTCACTCTGCTGGTTCTGCAGCTTACTGCAACTTTGCATGCGTCTCCATTTCATGCTTTGGAGAGGCAAAGTATAAAATGGCGAACTGGCGTGTCTGTTGCACATTTTGCCGTGATACTGTCATGTCCACTTTAAGGTGATTGCTTTCTTTATTAACATACAAAAAGTCTGCCTTTATAATAATTTTATAGTGGCCAGGAAGTCATGATGATAAAGCCATGATGTAAAATCTGCTTATGTATTAACCACAGTATATGTGACAGTATGTGTGACTGATTACTTCTTTTTGCTGCACTGCCCCATTACACTGGACCTTAGGGTTCCCCCACCTACCAAATCCTATTTTAACTCTTTTTTTTATTAAGATTTGTACCATATCAACCCTTATTTATTTTCTTAGGATTGGGGTATAGAGGAAGGACATGACTTCCAGAAAACAGTTTGGAGAAACATGGTGCAGCGGTGCACAAGGAGATGACCTAGAAGGGGACAACGTCAATGTAAAACTAGCTACTATCTGATGCCAATAGTAAAAAATACATATATTTTTGTAACTGATGTAAATTAATCTTTTACATGGAGACATTTTAAGTGAAATGGATAATAAGAAACAGAACATGTAGTAGCATTCTAAAAGTGTCATGAATCGCTGTGCGGCAGGCAGGAGTTGGACCCAAAATGCAAGACTCACAGACTCAGGGGATGAACTCAAAAATCACAGCTTTATTTGCTGGTAGGACAAACATACAAACTAAACTAAACTAAACTAAACTAAACTAAGAACTCACAGAGAGACACAGGGCGATCCACACAGCATGAGGGACGACACGACACTGACTCAGAGAAACACAGGGTTTAAATACAATGGGAAGTAACGAGGGGAATGAGACACAGAAGGAGAGCACAGCTGGGAGAAATCAGAACTGATGAGACAAGGGAGCAAAGTAGGATACACTCACATGAGACACAGACCTTCAAAGTAAAACAGGAATTAGCACAGATGCAAACTAGACTAGGGGAGACAGCAACTAAGAAACACAGAGGGCAGCTACTAAATAATCAGAGAACTAAACAGAATACAAGAACACCAAACTAAGACACTACACTAAAGAACAAGCTAGGACAACAACGAAAACTAAGAACATAATACAGAAAACTCAGAGGCACAAGAAACTCAAAACACTGGGTCACTGACCCAGGACCGTGACAAAAAGAGCAAATTTGCTGGTAGTTTAATAAAAGCCACATTGTTGACACAAAGTGGTAACATAGGTACAATTTGCCTGTAGCACCTCACAAGAGTGTCCTGTGACATTGACAAAAGAGCCACGGATGTTTAGATATATGGATTTGTAAAGGTTTCTGTTGACCAAGGGGCACCGTTTTTAATCACTAGAGACCACTAAGATACTCTAAAATCCTGAGTCAGAGTTGGCTTTTCATGTGGCATGTGTGACCATGAGCACATGGTGGAATACAGAGGGCCATTCAAAATGGAAATGCCTGCAAGTCCAAGGCCGTGCTTTCATAATCCTTCTCAGGCAATAAACTGCATAATGAAGTTGTACTGAATTGAATCAAGAACTGCAAACAGCGCTGACGTAGTTTGACTCTGAAAAAACTCTTGTTCAAATAACCCATCCCAAAACATATACACACAAAGGAACACACACACATTTCCTGCCCAAAACGACAGCAGTCAAAAGTTCAAGGCATCCACAG